AAGAAGGAGAAATTTTGTATGTATGTATATACAGGATAGTTAACGTAGTTGATCTCCTGTCTTCTATTTCTTTGCTGAATGAAACTGTTGAGTCCTTGATTGATCAATATTGCATGTCTCTATTTGTTTTCATGAGAAACCACTTTGAAGATATCAATATGTAATACAAAAAGCATTGTTAATTTCCTACCACTTTGTAACTCTGTATTGTCTGTACTGTTCTTTTGCTATTTTGTAAAACATTGACTGTTTGTTAATGTTTTCCTCCTTTTATTTTTAATATTAAAAAAATGTATAAAGTGAATCTAGGAAAATTAAAGAATTCCTATAAACTACTGAGATAGAGATCCCAATATACAAGAATAAGGTGTTATTACCAGGTGTGGTGGTGCATATTTGTAATCCCAAAAAACACTCAGGAGGCTGAGGCAGGACAATCACCTTGAGTTTGAGACCAGCCTGAACTACAAAGCAAGATCCTGTCTAAAAAAACCCAACCCTCCAAAAAAAAAAATATGGTGTCACTAAGACATAGCATTAATAGTGCACTATAGGGCCAGGGATATAGCTCAGCAGAACAAGCACCTGTCTGGCCAGTGCAAGGTCTTGATTTGATTCCCAGTACCCCCCCCAAAAAAAAAAAAAAAAGTGCACTATAAAGTATTGCAGAACAGGAGAATGAAGGCATGCCAGGTTCATCTACTTCCTCATTCTTTCAAATTGTTGTCCTCACCTAACTGGGAATCAACAATTTGAAGTCAGAAAAATATGGTAACTTTTAAACCAATGATCTAGCACCAAACTTCAGAACCAAAATAGCTATCACATGTGCACAGATGGACCTTCTTACACCTGTGACCTTCTACAGCTGCCCATATAGAAATTTCTAGAACAGAAACCAGCTCTTTGGCAGCGTGAAAATGGACACTCTGGTGGCTGGAAAGATTCCAAGCCATATTATAGCCATATTCACCTCTGATGTTTAACACAGAGGAGGTTGAGCAGGGCCATCCAGGCCTCCTCAGATCCAGCAGAAATCTTGTGTTTTGATGCTGAGAGTGAGAGTATTGCTTCATTAAGAAACCATCCTGAGCTGGGCGTGGTAGAGCACACCTGTAATCCCAGCACTTGGGAGGCTGAGGCAGGAGGATCCTTGTGGGTTGAGACCAGCCTGGGCTACAAAGTGAGCTCAAGGCCAGCCTGAACTGCATAGTGAGACCCTGTCTCAAAGAGACAAAAGAAAAAAGAAACCATCCTGATCTAGTAAGTGAGAGCTGGAATGTACAATTTTGATCATAAAAGAAATGAGAGTAAATGGAACAAATGTTTGTCCTTTTGAGACAGGGTCTTGCTATGTAGTTCAGGCTGGCCTTGAACTCTCAGCAATCCTCTTGTCTCAGCTTCCCCAGTGTTAGGATTATAGGAGTGGGCCACCACGCCCAGCTAGTACTGTAGCATTTTTTTTTTTTTTTTTTTTTGGTACCAGGCATCAAACTCAGGACTTCGTGCTTGCCAGGCAGGTGCTGTGTGTAGCCTTGTTTCTCCTAAAAAAGAAAATGTATTAGCACGTTTACAGGACCTAATGATTACATTCATCATAGGGAGTCGGGACATGTACACCACTCATCTTCATTGTCTGTGTAACCTCTCCCAAGCTGTGTTAAGAGTTTTAGTACTCAGATACCTGGTCCAGGAGCGTATCCTTCAAACTGAGCAACCTATGGTAATCCCGCCTTCTGTGGAGAGAATAATGAAAGAAACATAGAGGGTCATGGGTATGATCAAATATAAGCCTTGAAAGATACCCAAAATGTGAAGGGGGGATGGTCAAAGTATGTTATGCACATGTATGAATCTGAAAAAGTGAATCTCATATCAAAGGACTGATACCCAGGCTACAATTCCTACAAATAAATAAATAAAAAGCCAAATTTATTTTTTTTAAAAAGCCAAATTTAAAAAATCATGACTTCCAATTTTAAAAACATTTTTAAAACTAAAAACCAAGACTTAAACATTTTACAGAACAAGATATAAAGAAGTCAATAACCACATAAAAAAAAAACCTTCATTAGCAGCAGCTACTGTGAAACTGCAAAATTAAAATGAGATTCTATTTCGGCCCTCCTAGAAGGGTTAAAGACTGACGACCCCAAGCGTTGAAAGGCAGGAAGTACATCCCGACCTCTGACCTGTCACTGGCAGGAGGAAAAGATGGTGCAGCAACTTTGTAAAACAGTCAGGCAGATGTTTGATAAAGTCAGCCTGCCGGGAATGACCCCGACATCCTCCCCTTAGATGCCCCCCCGTCACAGAAGTGAAACTCCCACAAAGACACGCAGTAATGTTCACAGCCGCCTTGTTAGTGGCTCCAAGCTGGAAATAACTCAGACGTCCATCAGCAGGTGAACTAGGCAATCAGACAGGGGTGGGCCCCCGAGAGGTCAGTGCAGAAGACAACTGCGGCGGGAGCCGCATTCCCCTAAGGCCAGGCTTCAAGAAAAAGAATTACGCACTCAGTCCTTCCCCCAGGGCCGAACAGTACTGATTGGTACGCTCAGCAGGCAGCAACCACCTGGGGGTGGAGGACAAACCTCCTTAACCCGCCCCTCCAGGGAAGTCCTCGTCTGCCCTTGGGCACTGCTGTGTGCCTCGTTTGCCCATTCGATCCCCACCTCATACCCACCTTGTGATTCCCCATCGGAACAGTAGTACCTAAGGGACTACACTTGTTATCTATTGATTGGTTATAGTTCTTTCCCGCCTTAAAACCCGCCTCGCCTTGAGAAATGGGGTAGGTGGGCAACCCATTTCCAGGCCCCTTTCTGTCCTTCTCAGACAGAAGCGTTCCTTCTCTCAATAAATTCTTTCTACTTTTAACCTCCGTGGATCCTAGAATCCATCCTTCGATTTCAGAGAAGACGAGCTCGGGGTTTGGGACGTCTAGCAGGGTGGGAGTTCTATTTCCCCTATATTAAAAGGATAAACACTTTCACTGCTGGAGTGCGTCACTGCAATGAAAACTACTGAAGCCAGAGCCTGAGAGGGTAGGATGGACCCTGGAAAGCAGGAAGAAAACAGACAGAAAGGATGTGCGTCTGCCACCTTCGTTCAGATCCGAGGAGCTCCTGCTAAGGGCGGGAAACCGGAGAGGGGACCCAAATGGTCCAGGCTGTCCTTGAACTGCAGTCCTCCTGCCTCAGCCTCCTGAGTAGCTGGGATTCAAGCCAGCGCCACCACCACGCCCAGCCGCTACTGTACACTTAGCAAAAGCATCGATTTGTACACTAAAAAGAAAACTAAACTAAAACTACGCTCTCCACCGTCTACACATTTTATATCAGCAAAAAAGAGACTAGAAAAAAAAAAAAAAAACATGGCGAGTAGAAAAGTCACAGCTGCCGCAGGCCACCGAGACGCGAGGCCCCGTTGCCCGGCCCCGAGCCCCGCCCCAGACCCGCCCACCTGACGGTCCCGCCCCCCCGGAAGTCAACTCCAGAACAGTCCGTTGTCCTTTCAATCAATTCAAACGCCGCGCTTAGCACACCAATTACAAGCCAAGCTCAAAGGAAGAGGCGGGCGCTTCTCCCGGAAGTGCTGGGGAAACCTCCCAATCAGAGGCTCCGGGCGGGAAGTTTGAATTGTGCTTGGGCTCGGTGGGAGGCGTCGCCGCGTCCAAGGCGAAGCGGGACGTGCGGACCCGAAGGATTTTGATATTTTCCCCTCTGGCTGAGTTTTCACCCTAGAAGGTGCCTCAGGTAGGCGGGCGCTGAGGAGCTAGAGGTGGAGGACGCCGGCCGCTTCGGGAGAAGGCCGCGGGCTGCGCGCGGGGGCCGGCGGGGGCCGACGGCCGG